CTTTCCTGTTACTACCCAAAAATACCAAAGGCTATATATAATGCATGGCGGATTTCTTTCAGAATTCCTCACTTGTTAGCCACAGCTTGGAAGTCAGATTTTCTTTTTATTTATCTGTGTTTAATAGGGTACTCTATGTAAATACACAACTCTGAAATGGAATTTTAATTATATCCATATAGTTTCATGTGAATACAACTGTGGTCTAGACTAATGTCAAGGGGTAATGACAGCTACCACTTAATTACCAGAAAACCAATCACAATATTGTTTGTACTTTATAAATGCTTTTTTTCAATGTTTCTCTGGATGTGAAGAGTCAGAAAACATATTTCTACAAGTTGTGAAGGAGGCATTATAAGATCATAAAACACGGCCCATTTAGTCCAGCCTAAAATCTATCTTCTACCATCCACCACATCAAAATTTCAGAAGATAAGTTTCTTAGGAGTACATGATATTTCTCTCCCTCCCTAATTAAATGGATTTACACCTATCTTGCACTTGAACGGACACAAGCAACAAATGGAATAGCAGAATTTTTAACCACTTACTACAGATTCTCTCAAGGTACCTGGTACTATTATAGTAGGTAGGAGTATGTAAGGATAATTTTACTGTTTCTTTAAAGCTGTTTTATTAAGTGAGGCAGAAAGGGCTGGAGAATTGTCTAGCCAGAAGTTCTGAAGTGAAGCAGAGAGAGGCAGAATAGCATTACAAATAATAGTGTGGTCCTTATTCTGATCAAGTTCCTTTTCCAGAACTTTCTGCAGCTTCTTCTGCCATTCTTTAACATTGTCACATAGTGATGGGGAGAGGACTATGTCCCCTATATGCTTTGCAGGACAAAGTCCAAAAATATAAGTGTAACCCTAGTGTGCCCTTTCCTGGTAACCACAACCACCTATTTCCAGATTGAGCTGCTACAAAAGCCAGGGATTTTGTGAAAACTCATGAAACTGAGAAGAGGCCAGTGAGCACACTACTGATTATGAGGATGAGGATGATGGCGGCAGAGCTGGTAGGCACTCTTGTTGGTAAGGAATAACCATGGTGTTGAATTAATCAAAAGCTGTGAAATTCCCCTGAGCAATAGTTAGAAAAAATGACTGGGATGGCTCCATCTGGAATCCCTGGGAAGCAATGAAATGGTACAGCTCTTTCAAGACCAGGACAGATCTGTCCTCTTAAACGTTTTTTAACTATGAAATAGTTTGTCTGAAGTGATTGATCATCATTGATCCCACAGATCGGAAATACTGGACTAGCTTTAAACTCTGGCTCTCTGCTTCAGAAGACTAAAAAAGCAGAATGAATGATATAAAACAGGGGAAGTAAAGGACATTTATAAAATAACCACCTGCAATAATGGATCTTGCCAAATGATTTGAGAAAATGAAGTTCCTTTCAATGAAGCAGATAGCCCCAGATGTGCTGACTGTCAGAGGATTCTTTCTGCTGAGACTGAGGAGCAGATGAGACTGTGAAATGCAGATACAGAGTGCTACACACAGTGACAGAGAGATTCTGCATTAAAGGCAGAGGGACAATGGTGTGACAAGTGGCACAGCTTCCCCATGAGAGAAGTACCAGTTTGTTTTCTTTTGTTTTTCAGCCATTTGCTACATCCCTGTGGGAGGCATAACTAAATAGGGAGGGAAAATTAGCTGAAATAAAACACTGAAAATAAGAGTGAAAACTAAACACTCATCCTATTCAGCATAATTGTGGGGTCTAAGAGGAGCTTCTGGATAAAAACTGTTGGTGCTCAAAATTCTGCTATTCCATTTGTTGTTTGTAGCTCTTCAAGAATGATTAAGCAACTCCCACAAGTTAGAAATCGACTTTGTCCATATGAAGAAACTACTTAATGCAAATGTCATCTATAGACTCATAGACTTTAAGGTCAGAAGAGACCATTGTGATCACGTAGTCTGATCTCCTGCACATTTCAAGCCAACTATAAATGTTATTCCTATGCTTCCTTTAACTAAAACATGTTTTTCCTTTTTTCTCGATAGCAAACTTCTCCCCCATGTATCAGAACTGGCAGGGGTGTTCTAAGGGCATGGGGATTCCCTAGTGTTTTGAGGAGATTTCCTTGTGGAACTATACATTTATGTGGCTCTAATTGTAGTGTATTTGAAGAATGGTAATTTGCTCTCCCCAGAAATCTAAACATTGTTACTAAAAAGGTTCATCCACAAAATTAAGTACATTTGCTGATCTGTGGGAAGTCTTAAACAAGTGAGCTGCTGTGCTCTTGTGTTTATAGTTCGAGTCAGAGCAGGGGCAGCTCTTCCTCTTATTTGAAATCATCTTTTAAAAACTTTACAAATCTATCAAATACTGTTAGTTGGCAGAATGGTTATATTGTAAAAGTAATGATAAAACTCAATAAAAAGGGGTGAGAAAAAAATCTTTATATTGTACTTTTCTCTTAAAAATAGTTTTATTAACTTTCACTCTGGAAATATCCAATTAGAAACTGATGTTTTTAAGATGGTCTTAAAAATTGCAAACAAAGATCATGAATTTGAACAAAAACTCTGATGCCCTTGAATACATCCTAGTAGCTGAACTAAAAAAAAAAAGTTTCTTGAAATTAATATTGCTTATAGTTTCCTATGAAAATACACTGTGAATCTCAGACTGTTTCCTTTTACATCTCAGTTCTACTTTTAACTTTCTAACAATCAAGCCAAATTTTCAGAAGTGTTCAAGTTCTGCAACTGTGTATCCAATTTGTATAAGCAATTCTGAGAGTACACCAAAAAAATGCGGATTTTAGTTTGCCAGTGATCAACTGGATAATTATTAACTGGCAATTTGCAAGCACAATTATGCATATTACACCTGTCATTGTGCAGGTAAAAATTGCATATACATTGTGGAAAGTCAGGCCTCAAATATGAACCTATGTACTCTGCTGGTTATTAGAATTGTTGGAATGAGCTTTAATCATGTTTTGTCACTGAGGCGCAGTAGCGTGAATAGAAATCTGCTTATTACTGAAACATAAAACCATCTTTGCGTTGATGATGATGATGAGTTGAGTTCATAATGTATGGTAAATAAAAGATTTTAAGTTAGTATATGAAACTGAATTGAAATGATTTTCTCTTAACTGCTACAACTTTTATTTTCACATATAAAGGAAAAAAGTAGTTAGGGATTACGTTGAATCTATTTGTCTGGAAGTACAGGCTTAGCTAGACAGGCAATTCTGTATTAGTGGTAGATCAAGTCAGTATTTATTGACACATGTCCTCAATAAATGAGAGTACGTTCTGTTGTTCTTGAGATGGATGATATGAGATGAAGTAGGTATTTTAATATCCTGTTTAATGTATTTCAGAAAATTAGATTCTTCCTTAACCTTTTCGTTTTATTCACAAAGATTGATGGTATAGCACTTCCAAAAGAAAGGCACACAATGTTTGAAGAGAAGCCAAATATTCAAATGATAGGTTATTTCCTTTTTTCAGAAGGACTGACAAAATCCTCAGTCTTTTATGGAAAAATAATTCATTTCTTGCCCTTTGCTTGTGAAGAGAACCCAATAATCTGAATGAATTAACATAAAATAATCAGCATATAAGTAAATTATTTTTAAAGAAGTCTTAAAGCAATTCAAGGGCTGTTGAATACTGATAAAAGGTTCTTTGGAGAAGGTATATAAGGGGAAAATGTGTTGAGTATTCTATCAATCTCTGCAAAGACAGGGCACAGAAGAAAAGCAGACAAAAGCTATGGTAAAATATTGGATTTGTGGACCAGAAGGTCAATCTGATAGGACAAATTAATCCTGTTGCTAATGTTTTCCCCTAGGGCTTGGCAGAAAAACTTCATGGAGGAAAACGCCTGTTCTCACTAGGTATAATTTTGAAATCAAGAAGAGTCATAACATATATTTACAAAACAAAAATCTCACCTAGTCCATTGTTCAGCCAAATTTAGGACATCTCTGTGGATTCCAAGATAATATACTACATTAACACTACCTATCGCTTATTGCTGGCAATTTGCACAACAATAACTGTCAGCAAATTAATTTACTTAAAAGACTGAATAATGATTCTGTTATTTCTGTAGCCTGCAGTGCAATTTGGAAATTATACAAGGTGCTCTGCTAGATCATTCTTCTAACAAATGGCTTTGCTTAGATTTGTCGTCTTTGAACCTTTAGTGAAGCCACTCCATGAAAAGGCTAGTCCAGTTGGTGAGAGATGCACCATATATACGCAGCTCCAGATAAAATCATGAATTGAAATAAACAATAAAACATCTGCAAGGAAGTTCTTATAGCAAAGACCTTTACTCAAACATGTATCAAAGGAACCACTACACTATGACAGGTTTCAGAGTAGCAGCCATGTTAGTCTGTATTCGCAAAAAGAAAAGGAGTACTAGTGGCACCTTAGAGATTAACCAATTTATTTGAGCATAAGCTTTCGTGAGCTACATGAAGTGAGCTGTAGCTCACGAAAGCTTATGCTCAAATAAATTGGTTAATCTCTAAGGTGTCACTAGTACTCCTTTTCTTTTTACACTATGACAAACATCCCTTATAAATGACTGATCTAATTATAACGTTAAATTACAAGGTCCTTGTAAAGAAGTGTGTGCTGAAGACACAATAACTGCAATGTGACTGGAGGTGGCTAAGTTCCCAACAAAATCATTCCTATCAGCTTCTATTCATGCCTTGAATTATGCAGTATTTTTAATCTGTGCATAAGATGCTGCATTTACTTACCCTTAAATTTCGAGGCATTATAGCTTCTGCTGACATGAATGTATTCCAAAAATAGAACATTACAGCAATACTCTGCTAGACATTTAAGCCATTTGTATGTTTATTCTTTAGTTTCTTTTCTTGAACTTTCTAACTGTGAGAAGGCTGGGAAAGTGGAGTCATGATGAATGAAAGCTTGTTTCCTGAAAAAATTAGAAATGCAGACACTTGATGTAACACTAAAAAATTCACAGTGTCCTACCTTGAAAACAAACATTTCCCTGCGAAGAATAGCTAGAGTGTTGAAGTTCCCATCACAGATGTTTGGTTTGGCTCCAGGATAGGAAGGTTTGTCAGCAGTGGGCGGCCGAGGTGGTTTAGGCTGCCTGTCATTCTTCCGAGGGTCTGCTGGAGGGACAGAACGATGCGGGGGCACTGTTGGCAGAGGTCTTGTTGGTGGTGGGATCTTGTCAGGTGGACCTTAAAAATGTCAGCAGCAGGACATTGTTTAGATCACTGTAAATTGGACTGCAGACAGCCCTACAAAAATATACCCCAAAGAATACTCCTGCATTGGCAGAGGAATGGCTTAGCTGGTGTAATATGCTCTTTTCCAAATTCTGATCTGTGAAGATAGAGTATAACAACGTGTGCTTTGGATCCATAAAGTCAACGTACTTATGAAGAAAAAAATGACTGCTGGAATTCTGATATCCTTCCTCCTTTATTCCCCAACAAGCTTTCAGACCACAAAATCCACCACAATTTAAGATTACACATGGTAAACAGTTTGTGCTTGAACAACAGTGTATAGAACTGTTTTAGTGAGAACAAAACTTTCATTGGTTATGTAAAATGTGGGAAATTTGTCCTGACAAATGCATTTAATAATTCTACCATCAACCCATGTTTTTGAACATTCTAATACCTACATCCATCCATCCATCCATCCATCCATCCACACACACAGCACATGTCGTGGTTATGTGATTAATGATACAGGCATGTGATAAATTGCATTTATTATGCACCTTTGCAAATTAACCTGCTGTCTTCTCACTAATCTATCTTTTCTTGAACTACTTCTAATATTCAATGCTTCTGAGCTGCTTCTGTAGCTGCCTTTTTGTTTTATAAACCAACCAGACTCAAAAATATTTCCTTCTTAACCGCAGAGGTGGAATTTCTCTCCCGACCCCTCCAACTATACTGACCTAAGTTTCCAGCCAGGTAAAACTGAGTTCTGAACTAGTGATAGGCTTGAACCATCAGGGATACAAAGAGAAGGTCACAGGAAAGGATATTTTCCCAGCTCCTGTTGGGGCACAAAGCACCTTTCTAGCCGTGGAAGGTCTTGAGATTGGGCTTTAAATGTTGGGCATTTATGTATATAGAATGCATATTTAGATTTTTTTAAAGAAATGTTTGAAATTAATTGTTAATATTTTTCCCTATGAATCCTGTAAAGTTGGACTCATGGCAACCCTGACATTTGATTTTACAGGCAAATGGATTGAAAAGGTTGTCCAAACTTAAAAATAGTGCAAAATAATAACAATAAAAACCCTCTGTGTAACATTTCTAAAATATCTGTGCTATAAACTATTTGACTTACACTGAATAAATCATGATGTGGTGCAATACAAAGCTTTTAATGGCACTCATTTAGGATGATCTGATTAGTCCATTCTTAGTTTTACTATTTGTAAGTAATATGGTCATTCTAGGTTCATGCTGTTAAAAACCCTTATGTGTAATGGGCAGCCTAAGAAACTTCATTCCAGGTCTAGAGATATTATTGGGTCTAGTGATATTTTCCATTTTAAATATATGACATCTCTGTAGGACCAGTAATATCTCTGGAAGTAGGACACACTTTTTAAGTCTGCCCATTCTGTGTAGCTATCTATCTAGATCAGTTTAACTGCAGTGTCTATTTGTACATGACAAAACAGTCTGCTTTAATTCATCTGCATGACAGTAGGTTAAGGAGCATCTTTGCAACCTGAGACAAAATTAAATCTAACATAAATGAAATTTGAATGTCCAGTACTTGATCAAAGAAAGTAAATTAACTAGGATAAATGTTTACTGATTGAATATTTAAGGCAACCCAAACTACCATCAGTGAAATTTAATAAGACATTTCCTTCATAATTTTAAGGAGCATGACATTCATAATTTACAGTTAATTAGGCTGTGATGAATAGTGTAGCTCAACATAGTTACTTTCATAGGGGTAACATTTTTTTCAGACATTCAGTCCAAATCACCTTTTGATTTTAGTACAGGCAGCAAAGAAATTAATTTGCAATGGATAATATTTGAATGATTCTAAATCCAAACCAAAGTTTCCACATGCAATTTGGTAGTGCTGTCAGGCATCACTTCCCAGGAGCAATAAAGTCAGCATACAGCTGTTAGAGCTTATTATTTAGTATATGGGCAAAATGTCCTTGTCTAGACTACCAACTTATGAGTTCATGAAAAACAACCTCTTTTTTTCGGTTAACCATATACAATAAATTTTAACAAGCCAATCACTTTGTTCCCTTTCTGGAACATCCAGAGTATAACATCACTTAATATAATATTTAGCATAGATGTATTTGGTTTCTAATCAGAGGTGCACCATTATTCTTTACGAACTCATCCGGCTTTCCTAACAGCAAAAGATCAGCAAGAAATGTGACCTTGTTAAAAGTCAGTTTAACCCAGAGAGAACACTTACCACTTAGACATTTAAATTGGAAAAGTAATGAATGCAAAACAAATTAGTGAACTTAAATGACATCGTTTGCACATGCAAATGATATCTACCAGTCACTTAGCATTAACATACAGATAGAACAGATTTTTCACTATAAGAATGTAAATGTAAATGCTCCATTAATTTAGCAAAGCAGATTCTTTAATGGTTAACTGTGTATGTCAAGTTTCAGAGGAACAGCCCTGTTAGTCTGTATTCGCAAAAAGAAAAGGAGTACTTGTGGCACCTTAGAGACTAACCAATTTATCTGAGCATGAGCTTTCGTGAGCTACAGCTCACTTCATCAGATGCATACCGTGGAAACTGCAGCAGACTTTATATATACACAGAGAATATGAAACAATACCTCCTCCCACCCCACTGTCCTGCTGGTAATAGCTTATCTAAAGTGATCAACAGGTGGGCCATTTCCAGCACAAATCCAGGTTTTCTCACCCTCCACCACCCCACACAAATTCACTCTCCTGCTGGTGCTAGCCCATCCAAAGTGACAACTCTTTACATAATCAAGTCGGGCTATTTCCTGCATAAATCCAGGTTTTCTCACATCCCCCCCACCCCCATACACACACAAACTCACTCTCCTGCTGGTAATAGCTCATCTAAACTGACCACTCTCCAAGTTTAAATCCAAGTTAAACTAGAACATCTGGGGGGGGGGGTAGGAAAAAACAGGCTACCTTGCATAATGACTTAGCCACTCCCAGTCTCTATTTAAGCCTAAATTAATAGTATCCAATTTGCAAATGAATTCCAATTCAGCAGTTTCTCGCTGGAGTCTGGATTTGAAGTTTTTTTGTTTTAAGATAGCGACCTTCATGTCTGTGATTGTGTGACCAGAGAGATTGAAGTATTCTCCGACTGGTTTATGAATGTTATAATTCTTGACATCTGATTTGTGTCCATTTATTCTTTTACGTAGAGACTGTCCAGTTTGACCAATGTACATGGCAGAGGGGCATTGCTGGCACATGATGGCATATATCACATTGGTGGATGTGCAGGTGAACGAGCCTCTGATAGCGTGGCTGATGTTATTAGGCCCTGTGATGGTGTCCCCTGAATAGATATGTGGGCACAATTGGCAACGGGCTTTGTTGCAAGGATAAGTTCCTGAGTTAGTGGTTCTGTTGTGTGGTATGTGGTTGTTGGTGAGTATTTGCTTCAGGTTGCGGGGCTGTCTGTAGGCAAGGACTGGCCTGTCTCCCAAGACTTGTGAGAGTGTTGGGTCATCCTTTAGGATAGGTTGTAGATCCTTAATAATGCGTTGGAGGGGTTTTAGTTGGGGGGTGAACGTGACCGCTAGTGGCGTTCTGTTATTTTCTTTGTTAGGCCTGCCCTGTAGTAGGTAACTTCCCAGAAGAAAATAACAGAAACGAAAGAAAATAACAGAACGCCACTAGCGGTCACCTTCAGCCCCCAACTAAAACCCCTCCAACGCATTATTAAGGATCTACAACCTATCCTAAAGGATGACCCAACACTCTCACAAGTCTTGGGAGACAGGCCAGTCCTTGCCTACAGACAGCCCCGCAACCTGAAGCAAATACTCACCAAAAACCACATACCACACAACAGAACCACTAACCCAGGAACTTATCCTTGCAACAAAGCCCGTTGCCAATTGTGCCCACATATCTATTCAGGGGACACCATCACAGGGCCTAATAACATCAGCCACGCTATCAGAGGCTCGTTCACCTGCACATCCACCAATGTGATATATGCCATCATGTGCCAGCAATGCCCCTCTGCCATGTACATTGGTCAAACTGGACAGTCTCTACGTAAAAGAATAAATGGACACAAATCAGATGTCAAGAATTATAACATTCATAAACCAGTCGGAGAATACTTCAATCTCTCTGGTCACACAATCACAGACATGAAGGTCGCTATCTTAAAACAAAAAAACTTCAAATCCAGACTCCAGCGAGAAACTGCTGAATTGGAATTCATTTGCAAATTGGATACTATTAATTTAGGCTTAAATAGAGACTGGGAGTGGCTAAGTCATTATGCAAGGTAGCCTGTTTTTTCCTACCCCCCCCCCCAGATGTTCTAGTTTAACTTGGATTTAAACTTGGAGAGTGGTCAGTTTAGATGAGCTATTACCAGCAGGAGAGTGAGTTTGTGTGTGTATGGGGGTGGGGGGGATGTGAGAAAACCTGGATTTATGCAGGAAATAGCCCGACTTGACTATGTAAAGAGTTGTCACTTTGGATGGGCTAGCACCAGCAGGAGAGTGAATTTGTGTGGGGTGGTGGAGGGTGAGAAAACCTGGATTTGTGCTGGAAATGGCCCACCTGTTGATCACTTTAGATAAGCTATTACCAGCAGGACAGTGGTGTGGGAGGAGGTATTGTTTCATATTCTCTGTGTATATATAAAGTCTGCTGCAGTTTCCACGGTATGCATCTGATGAAGTGAGCTGTAGCTCACGAAAGCTCATGCTCAGATAAATTGGTTAGTCTCTAAGGTGCCACAAGTACTCCTTTTCTTTTTGTGTATGTCAAGCTTTTTAAAACTTATGTACTACAAAAGTTGCCTGTGGAAATGTCAGAGAGAGTCCTGTGTTACCTTAAACCTGCAATGAGTAAACTGCTTTTTTTTCTTTCCAATTATGTTTCTTTCTTTGAATACAATAAAATGAGAAATTATTTACAGTGGATGTTTCTTTCATTTTAGGCCACAATAGCCAAATCTGATATATATTTTAAAGAGCAGGATTTTCCCTCTCCTCCCCACCCCAGCTATGCCATGTTGTGCAAAACCTTGGGTTGTTAATAACAAGCTTTTGAAATCAATTTGCTATATTTATTGCAATAAGAATGGGGGGTGGTGGGACCACAAAACTGCTTTACCAAGGGAACTGCACATTTTTATAACTGATATATTGAGAACCAACCAATCCTCCAGTTATATAAGCTGGTGCCACAGAGCACTTTGGAAATGAGCAGGTTATGGTTAAGGCCTGCGTTTCTTAATATTTTAATAGTTTGGGATTCCTTTATAGATATTCTTCACTAGCAGTTTAAATATTTAAGATTATCATTCCAGCGGAGTGCAGATTTAAAGGCAAACTGTGAATAGTGTGGGACTAAATAAGAGAGCTTCATCAAAATCCATGGCTTTCTCACAGCAAGAAATCAAGGCCTCTGGACTACAGCTGACAGAGTGTGTATATATATATATATATATATATAATTTGTCCTCAAATATGTTCTTAAGCAAACTATTTAATATGTGTAATAAAAAATGACATACCATATATCTTCTGAATGCCCTGTAAATCATCACTAGGTAGTTTGAAGTTGTCTGTTTCCATATACTGGTAAAATGGAGCCATGATTGCAGTAGGGTCATTGGAATGCTCCAAGCCTAGAGCATGCCCCAGTTCATGCACTGCAACTAAAAATAGATCATTTCCTATGGAAACAAAAAGAGGAAATGCTTTAGAATAATATGAACAATAAAGTAATACAAATACAGAATCCTGGACACTGAATGACATTTTAGTGGGTTCAGATTTTACAACAAAAATCAAGAGCCAACATATGAAAATGAAACATAAGGGGAACTGTAGAACCGTAGTAGACTTTTTTCTTTTAAACAAGTGAAGAATTATTATCACTGTGTGATGAAAGAGATGTGGTGATCATTTTATGGATTCAAATGACTGTATTAATCTTTGTTCAAATAGCCTTGTAAAGAGTACACAGTGCAAAAACATATTACTGTACACAAGTCTTGATAGTCATGGCTAGCTTGCATGCTATTTCAAATTCTAATTGAATCTTATAATGAGACTGAATAAAAGCATTTGCATCGGGAAGTAGGCTTGAGCTCAAAAGGAGAATATTGCTGCCATAAGTGGTAAACTTCATAAACTGTACACTACCTACTTAGGATAAGTCCTGCAGAGAATTTTAGTCTCCCAACTGCTTACAGTTGGACCCCTGCTGATGACCTGAACATGGGTGTCCATTTCTGAATCATCCTAAGTTAAATCATTAGGAAGATAAAGAAAGAGTTGGTGTCCCATTATCTCTCTCAAACCAGGATGCTACCTCTATGTATATATTTTACAGTGGGGTATTATGATCTGTTTACAGAAGTAAGTGGTTATATAAAAATTAGAGCTTTTTATTTTAGGTAGGTCTCAATAATACAATTATATGCAGTATTTTCACTTAGTAAAAAGAAAAGATTAAAATCAGTTAATTGATTTGTTGCATATCACCCCTTGATTAACTCAGACAGTGTTATTTACTAGAAAACAAACAGGGCAAGCTCACGTTTTGTTTGTGCATTTTTGAAAATCCACAAAAGAAATTAGAGATGTGTGAACTGATTTCACTTCTTAAAGTCTTTCCCTCTGCATAGCAACGTTCCATTTTTATTGCAAAGAGCTGGGAATAATTAGAAATGCCGATCTCTGCCAGTATTGCAGCCTTGCTGAAAACTACAAATATGGGCCCTAATTCTGCAATTCCACCACAAAGTATATTGCAGTATTAGGACTATACATTGCTTATTGTTTAATCATCTCTCCCCCCCCCCCTCCTCCAATCCCCCATCCACTCAAAAAATTACTCTGTGTTTCTTCATGAGCTTTCTTTTTAAAATAGAGACTTAAGCCCTAATTCTGCAAACTTCATGCAAATAGACCCATTGAAATCAATGAGACTACTTGTGTAAAGTAGTAGTGTAAAGTGTCCCTAGTATCTGGCTTCTTGTAGCAACACCAACACCAAGAGAGCCAGAGTAAATGTGAGATGTAAGAGCCATATTGTCCCTAGACAAGCTAGTCCCAGGTAGGGGAAAGGAAATACTCAGAGTCAGCACTTGTCACAGAGTGTAAGATCTTTGGAGCAGGTTCCTGATTCTCCATATATTTGTATAATGCCTAGATCTTCCAGATGCTACTGCAATGTAAATGATAAATAACAGAGAGACAAGGTGAGAGAGGTAATATATTTTATTGGACCAACTTTTGTTGGTGAAAGGGACAAGCTTTTGAGCAACTCAGTGTAGCTCAGAAATTTGTCTCTCTCACCAACTGAAGTTGGTTCAATAAAAAATATTACCTCACCTGCCTTCTCTCACTAATATCCTGGGACCACCATGGCTACAACTACACTGCAAAAAATAATAATAGTAGAAGTTCCTTTTAGTTTGTCTTTGCCACCTGCCCAAAACATTGCTGGGGGGTTAATCCCCAAACTTAGTGGCTTTCCATCTAAAGAGACCTGTGATTCAACACTGCCTCCTAAATTTCCAGGTTTCAAGAGTCTGTCATACCAGCTGCTATTCTTGGAATCCTCTTTAACAGGAAAGGGTTTCACATCATGGAGGGGGAAAGAATGTTATTGCTGAACCTGTTAGCATTATCTTTCTGACTAGTCTGAAGGCAATGAGGGGTACACTGCAGCAAAGAACAACCACACAATGGAACTGGTGAAAGGTCTTCTTCAGGGACAGGGATGGGGGAGTAAGAGTGATACCAAAGAAAATGCTCTTCTCTGTCCCCGTCCCCCCACCTTTCTTTTCTCTTCTGCCAAAGGAAAAGGAAATCAGAAAGATACTGAATCTCTACAAAGAAATCCAATCAAGATGCAATACTGGTTTTCAAAACAACATAGCAAAAACAGAAAAACAGACAGACAAACAAAAAACCCCAACCACACACATGCACACAAATTAGAATGAATAAGAAATATTTCTAAGTATCAAGTTGATAGCACTTTCAGTTTTTCAAATATTGTCTACTGCTGCCATGTAAAAAATAAACCTTATCCTGAGTACCCATGACAATATGAACACTTAACGCTAAATACCTTCATGATATATGGAGCTATTATAGAATCACAAAATCATAGAAATATACGTCTGAAAGGGCTCTCAAGAAGTCATCTAGTCCAGCCCCCTGAGCTGTGCAAGGACCAAGTAAACCCAGACCATCCCCGACGGGTTTATTCAAGTTGTTTTTATAAACTTTCAAAGATGGGGCTCCCACAACCTCCTCGGGAAACCTATTCCAGAGCTTAACTACCATTGTAGTAAGAAAGCTTTTCTTAAATCTCCTTTGCAGCAGATTGAGTCCATTGCTTCTTGTCCTATCTTCAGTGGGTCTGGGGAACAACTGATCACCATCCTCTTTATAAAAACACTTAACCTTCAGGGTTTTTTTTCCCTGAGACTAAACATGCCAGTTTTTTTAACCTTTCCTCAAAGGTCAGGTTTTCTAAAACCGTTGATCATTTTTGTTGCTTTCCGTTGGACTCCCTTCACTTTGTCCACATCTTTCCCAAAGTGTGGCACTCAGAATTGGACACAGTACTTGAGCTGAGGCCTCATAAGTGCCAAGTAGTGTGGGACAATTACCTCCTGAATCTTGTTAATTTACCGAGTTACAATAATAATAACTATAATAATATAGTAATATATAGTATAATAATATAGTAATAATATAATAATAACTAGCCAGTTATTTTCTCCTTCTAGTTGTACAGGTGATTTTTCCTTCCTACATGAAGTACTTTGCACTTCTCTTTACTGATTCTGTTGAATTCAAACCAATTCTCCAATTTGTCAAGGCCAGGCTAATCCTGTCCTTCAAAGTGCTTACAAACCCTCCCAGCTTGGTGTTATCTGCATAGTTCCCACTCCATTATCCAAGTCATTAATGAAAATATTGAATAGTTCTGGACTCAGGATGATCCCTGCAAGACCTCACTGGATATGCCCTCCCAGTTTGACAGCAAACCATTGATAATTATACTTTGAGTATGGTCTTTCAACCAGTTCTGCACTCACCTTATAGTAATTTCATCTAGACCCCATTCACCTAGTTAGCTTATGAGAATGTCATGTAGGACTGTGTCAAAAGCCTTATTAAAATCAAGATATATCACAGCTATAGCTTCCCCGGTACCCAGCAGGTCAGGCAAAGAAGGGAATTAGGTTGGTTTGGCATGATTTGTTCTTGACAAGTCCATGCAGGCTGTTGCTTATAACTAAGGATACGATTTAGTCATGCAGGTCACGGCAGTCACGGATACTGTGACTTTAACAGACTTCTGGGATTTCTTTGGCTTCAGCTGCCAGTGACTGAAGCCAGGACTGGAGCCGGGGCTGTGCACTGTCATCCTTCCCCCACCCCCACAGCTGCCACCAGGGCTGTAGATGGGACTGTGTGCCCCTGTCCCGTGGCTGCAGTTGTGGCTGGAGCCTGAGCTGTGCACCCTTTCCACACAGCTTCAGCTGTGGCCGGACCTGGGGCTGTACCCCGCTCCCCCCATGGCTGGAACTGGGGCTGTGCCCCCCACAAAGGCATTGGGGTTCGAGCTGTCAGTCCCCACCCATGGGGCTCCAGATGACATTCCCCACCCTCACCCACCCTCGCCACCAATTATTTTTAGTAAAATCACAGACAGGTCATGGGCTCCCGTGAATTTTTGTTTATTGCCGTGCCCTCTTCATGACTTTTACAAAAAATAACAGTGACAAAATCTTAACCTTACTTATAAACCTATTAGCTTCTTGGTGCTGACAAGCTGATTGTTTAATAATTTGTTCCATTATCTTTTCAGGTATTGAAATTAGGCTGACTGGTCTATAATTTCCCATGTCCTCCCTGTTCCCCTTTTTGAATATCGATACTATGTTTACCCTTCTCCAGTCCTCAGGGACCTCACCCATCCTCAGAAGTTCGCAAAGATAACTGCTAGTGTTTTTGAGATTGTGTCCGCTAGTTCCTTAAGTACTCTAGGATGAATTTTATCAAGCTCTGCTGACTTGAATACATCAAACTTATCTAAACAGTATTTAACCTGCTTCCCTCCCTCCCCCCCCTGCCCATTTTGGCTTGCATTCCTTCACCCTGGTGGTTAATAATAATTGTGTTCAGTATGTGGTCACCATTAAACTTTTTAGTTATGACTGAAGCAAAATAGGCATTAAATAACTCAGCTTTCTTGCTGTCATCAGTTATTAGCTCTCCTTCCTTGCTAACGAGAGGACCAATACCTTTCCTTTGTCTTTCTCTTACTCCTAATGTATTTAAGGAACTACTTCTTGCCCGTTACATCCCTATATCTTTTATGTAACTCATTTTGTGCCTTAGCTTTTCTGATTTTTTTCCTACGTGATTATGTCATTCTTTTGTACTCCTCCTTAGCAATTTGTCCAAGTTTCCACTTTTTGTAGGATTCCTTTTTGATTTTCTGATCATTAAAGAGCTCCCAATGGATACATATTGGCCTTTTACTATTATTTCGGTCTTTCCTTCACATCAGGATAGTTTATATTTGTGTCTTTAATATTGGCTCCTGGAGAAACTGCCTGCTCTCCTGAATTAAATTTCCCTTAGATTTTCTTCCCATGGGATCTTACCTACCAGTGCTCTGAGTTTGTGAAAGTCTGCT